GAAAACATCAATTAACAAAGACTTATTTCATTTATATATAATAATCATGCATTTAGAATTTGATCACATAAAAAAATGCAAACGAAAAAATTCAATGATATTTCTCTTTTTACATAATGTTTGAGCCCAAGCTAATTCACAAAATTTTTTTCAATACATTTAAATCACGTGAATATATGTCACACGTGAAACATGCATCTTTAACCACAAAGAAAAAACCGATTTAATAATATCTATACAATCAAATTTTAGAATAAACTGCTCTAGTACATTATTACAATATAAGAAATAAAATATGAACGATAATCATCAAATTCAAGAATACACTTGTCAACCATTTCTAAACGATTTTGCGACCTTAAAGATGAATATGAGAATATAAAGAAAATATGAGAATTATTATATATTTATTAGAATAAAGAAATCACTTACCAATTCGCCAATACTTTCTGCCCATTTCTCTATCCTAGAGAATTTCTTCGAAATAAATGGTGCCAAATTTGTTTGTTGACTCCAAAAAATCCGGAATTTCCTCACCAATTAAACCATTTATTCATTTCGATTCAAGATAACTTAACTATTTAATGATAAATAATTTTTTATAAACTTATCAGAATAATAATAAATATAAAATTCAGAAAGTAATTTTTTTTTAAAAGAAAGGTAGTACATACGAGAAATGCATCTTGGTTCGTGACTCTAGCTAAATTTGGTATAATCATTTCTATTCAGTAAATGTGGTTCTGAGATATCTCACGTGCACAAAATTAAATGAATTTGATTCGAAAGGTAGTCCTTGTAATATATTAGCCCGAGTAAAATTTATTTTACTTTGTGGTAGAATACCAGTGTAATTGTTTAAGGGATAATCTTGCGCCAACTGTGACAACCATATGTCATTGCCACACCTTGACGCATCTTAATGTATTATTTTTACTATAAAAAATAAATAAATATATGAAGAAGTTATATTTATTCATCGTAAGGATAATAATAAAGATAATAATGATAAGGAAAATAATAAAGATATCAATAATAATGACCTTCGTTTTGTTCAAGGTAGAAGATACCATAATGTCACATATGATAAAGACACAATAAAGCATGAATTGATGCGAAGTTTATGGAAAGGTGATTTTACTTCTCCAATCAAAGACGATTTAATCATTGGGGGTTGGATATAAGTTATACACTGTGCTTATAATTATTTTCGTGACGTGATTTGTAAGAGAAAAGGGGGTTATTTAAAAATCATAATTTTTTGAAAATTAAATATGATACATCCTATTCCTCTTTGGCTTCTTAAAATATGCAAACAATAATGCATTATAGCTCTTGGCTGGTGCGCAAATTAAAGAATAGGACTTTTGTAATAACATTTTGGTTAAGATTTTCCAAGGAGAACTTTTACTAATTTTATTGAATTTGCTAACCAATAATATCCAGAAAAAAATAATACTTACTGTAATTATTGGATATTCTAATCATAAGATAAACCATTTCTGTGAAGCAGTAAATATAAATCGCTTACAGGGTGACTAGAAGGAAAAGTTGAATAAGATTAAGGTTAGTAAAATATTGATTGATTTAATATTTTCCTTTTGTTAATTTCTCAACAAAAAAACATTTATATAATTTCTGAACAATTTTCATTCGGGTTTCATTCTATTTTCACTTTTACAGCTTATTTGTTTTCTAAACAATTATTTGATATGTTTTTATAAATTTATATTAAACCTTATTTCATTCATTGTGGTTTATTATTATGGCAAGTCAGTATTAATAAAAAAAATAACTTCTGGCATGGCGCAATTTCTTTCACATGAGAATATGGTACAAAATTTGGCACAGATTTTAAATGTGATTGATGATTAGTAAAGTTCTGCAAAATCCATTGGAGAAACATATATAATAACAAATGGTATAAGGAAATTACAGAAAATTTTATTATTACATGTAAAAATATATTAACACAAATTGTACAAGACCAAAAAAAAAAATATATTAGTATTAGATTGTCATAATAATGCTTTATTTTTCATTGATAACTGTTTGTTACTATTAAGAAGAGTTCCAATAGACATCAATGTCATCACAACCAGGCTACAAAAGAAGGAGTTAATATTTTAACATCTACACAAATCACAACTAAGTTAGTATTGCAAATAAATCAAATCATGAAATACAAACTACAAAAAACAAAAGAAACATAAAGACATTAGAAAAAGAAAATTAATGACGGATACTTGATGGAATATATGGTTTTTTTTTTGTATAATTTCGTTTTCCTATATTAACAATCCCGAACTCAAATTTGCATCCACTGACTCGGAAATTGAAAACCACAAACTCGGATACTGGAAAAAATACACTGGATATTTAACATGGAACAATTGATAGATAATAATAAAAAAAATAATGGAAATAATGGGAACCTAAATATAGATAAATATTGGAAACTAATCATAATTAAAAAACAGTTTGTTCTTTTCTTTCATATAAAAAAAATTATTGTTGGTACTGGATATCCGAAGAAATTTACAATAGAGAATATATAAATATGTTTACATGTTTAAATGTTTACATTTACATGTTATGACTACGGAATAGGAAACTACAGTTCAAACCTTCTAAATGCATACTGTTTATATGCATAATCTCCTTCTGCATAGGATTTTTTTGACCCAAGTAAGATTGATTCAATATAATAATCACATGATCGATATATATTTTTTAAAGATTTTTTTTTCACATTCAGATATTTTATAATTATTTATTCTTATTTTTATTATTCCACCTTTTTTTTAAAAAAAAAAGAAATGCATAGAATTTTGTCGGTCAAAAGTATGCATTTATACAGGTTCGAATTGCAAGTACATTATATTACAAAAAAAAAATTTTTTTTATGGTTGTGTAATATATTAATTACTGAATAAACATTTTCATATGATTTTAAGATAACACTACTGTATATCTATAAGTCCAAATATACAGTTACTACAAAGAAAAATACCTTTTCGTTCGTTGAAAATTTTTTTGTTCTTGCACATGATATGATAGAGATTATTGTACCACAGTCACACAATTTACGCGTTTTTCCCTTAAGTTTTATATCCTGGTCTACCCAAACACCTTATATAAATAATTTTTTTAAAGTAGATAACACATGATAAAATATAATTGTGATCTAGGTTAAGAGTGTAGACCCTGGGCTAAGATATAAATATAAATTTATCCTGTTTGAAATATTAAAGTTCTTATGATGTTTTTATAGAAATGTCTTCTTCTACTGGGAATATTCGAATTTAAGTAAATCGTTGCAACCACGTTTTTTTTTGTTATAAAATATATAAAGTAAAAGAAAAAACGCCAATACCAATAAAATGGAAATATTACTGATCAATTTCCTTTATCTTTTTTATTGTTTGGTCCAGCAATGCAAAGAACCATTGTTGGAGGTTGTGACATAGTTTATATACGTATTTTGAATGTCTTAGATTTTTTACTATGATAACACGGTACCCATGGTATGCTTGGACCCGTGTCAGATTACGAAATCAGTGCGATTCGTATTCTTTTTAGCAAGGTATCTTTGTTACTCTCATCAGTGTCATAGCATTTCTTTTTATATAAAAATCGTTACGTAGTTCAATACGAGTTGTTGCCTTTTTTGCTTCATCAATGACGGTGCACGTGAACATGGAAGATCATGAATAGTTTATTTTTATTGTTCATGTGATTTAAATTTTAAAGATACGAGTATTGTAAATATGTAAATATTTGTAATATTGTTGATTTGTATAATGTTCAATAAAAAAATTATCAAAGAAATTTAGCCAAATTTAAACCGTTATCCAACACAAAAGAAAATTTTTCATATACGAGATGAAATAGAACTTAGAACTTGTTTTCCTAAAAGGTTCAACTCATTTACTTGTACATCAATTTCATTTTGAGATAAATTATTTTGATCTTCATAAAAAGTTGTAGCAACATTAATAAAACTCATTATAATATCCTTTTCAACCAGATCAGAAGATGAGGGATCTCCAGATATTATTAAAAGACATAACAATAAAGTATTAGCCAAAAGTATTATTTGATTTCCTTGTAAAGAATATCCAGTTGATCTTAATTTTAAAACTAATTCAATAAAATATGTATAAACGATAATAATGATATCAGTAAATGTTTATCATATTTTAACAGTATTTATATTATTCTTACCAAGAATCTCTGAAATTTTGCGCCCAATAATAATAATTTTCATTAATTCCACTTTATACTTTGTAATAAAATCTTCTCTTTTTAAAACCACAATATTTAACAAAACTTGAAGAGGACCCAATAAGTCATCAACAGTTTCATCTTTTATATCATTTGTAATTTTTGAATGCTCCCAAATTTTAATAAAATAATTAATTATCATCTCAGGTCCCCCTTCAAAATAAAACGTTTCTAACGGTTTATCTTGTGATGTTAAGTTCAGAAAAGCCGGTGTCAGCATCTTGATAAGATCCACACCCGCATATTGAGAATTTAAACTAAAAACGAAAACAGAACCACATTTTAGAACTATATACATATATATATATATATATATATATAATATTAAGTATTTGATAATTTTGAAACTATCGAAACGAAACGCACCTGGAACGACAAAAATCAAGTAAAAATGGAATCACAGTTACAACTTCTTTTTCTAATGATCCTTCTTCAGCAAGCCAAACAGAAAGAATTCGAATACTGGCTGTTGCCTTATCTGTCAAAGTTGAACTTGATTCAATAGAACCTGTAAAATTCTAAATCAAATAATAAAAAAAATATAAGTATAATTTCCCTTTCGAAAGAATTAAAAAAATTGAAAAGATCGATACTTAAAAGGCAATAATAACATCAAATAAAATAAATAATATCATGCCTTGATGTCTAATAAATGATCCATTATTATTCGGAATGTTTCAGTCATGGTACTCTTTAATCGAAGCAATAGTTCTGGATCCAATTTTACTCCAATAAGATCCACCAATTCATCTTTTTTTTTGGAATCTAACATATATTCAACTTTTGTTAAATATTCTATCGTTTTTTCCAAAATTGTATAACATGCTGGTAATATAACTTCATGACGTTTAACAGATTCATAGTTCTTATTATTTTCCAGTTGGTCAGATAATTCATCAAGCATTAATTTAATTTCAATGCATGCTAATTGTACTACTAAAGCAGCAAACTTGAACTCTTCATTAACTTTTTCTATTTCAGTATTTGAATTCTGCATTGAAGTGGTTGAAGTGGTTGAGGTGGTTGAGGTGGTTGAGGTGGTTGGAGTGGTTAAAATGGTTGAAGTGAGATCTGAAGTAAACAACCAAATTGCTCCAAAATGATAAGATAGCTGCATAATAAGAATTAAAGCTTTATCCCGATTCTCATTCCCTAATATGCAACGCAAAGTAAGCATTGAAAATATAATTTTATTCAAAGATTAAAAAGATTAAACATTATAAAACAATTACCTATTTTACTTTTCAAAATATCTTTCAGACCATATCTTATATTCTGTACCCAAACATTTGTTCGTGATATGTCGTTTTGAAACATATCTTGTATTGACTAATTCAAAATAAAATAAGAATAATTAAATAATAAAAAAATGTTAAAATGTTGAAACGAAATTTCTCTTGGTAATCTCTTGATAATTGCTTACTTTATCCGTTATATATGAAAACATTTGTACAAAAAGTTCAAGTAAATCAAATTTAAATTTATCCTGATTTTTTCGAAAAATATCTGATAATTCGCTTAATATAATAAATAAATAATCTCGAATAATTTTTTGATCGGAAAAATTACGATCCGTGGGTATCGAAGTTATTACACCCATCGTGGTATGGTGAATTACTTGAAGACTAATATCTCGAGTTTCCACTATTCATAGATTTATTTTTAGTAAACCCTAAACATTTTGCCTAAACTCTTCTATTATTATAAAATAAAAAATAAAAATAAAGAAAACAAGAAAAACAAGAAAAACGCTAATCATTAAGCATACCATTAGTAGAATTTTTTACACACTGCAAAATATGTGATATAGTTTTGCTATCGACAATGCGAGTCAAGCCTTGTTTAACTGAAACTAACTTGAGAAAAATTTTCAAAATTTCTTGAGTTAATTCCTCATTTTTGCTTTAATAAATAAATAAATAAATAAATAAATATATATATGGATTAGATATATAATGTGAAGTAGTTTTAATTGTTAAATTTTAACATATTGAATATGAATATAAAAAATTTACTTTGGAGATAATAGCATTGAAAGGGTTGGAATACGAGCGTGAAGTTGCTTTTTTTTCATTAAATCTTCTATAACGCAGAAACAAGATAATATATGGACAGCTATCACTTTTAAAGTATAATCCGGCAAATTATCTTCCGTTAAATTTTCTTTAAAAATAAATAAATAAATTATTTATTTAATTATTAAATTTTTGATATTAATTTGGATATTGCTAAAGCTCACTGGTGATGATTATTACCACCAGGAAAAATTACATAATTATCTGATCAACCCCTAACCCTTACTTTGCCCTCGTAAATTTAATTTTGCCCAGTGGTGACAATCACCACTGGTGAGCTTTAGCAATTTTCTATTAATTTTTTAAAAATTTTTTTAAATTGCATAGAAACTATTAAAAAGATAGTAGATCAAAGTAGATCAATAAATAAATACCAGTTCTCATTAGTCTTTCTAAAAACTTAAAGTCCATTGCTTCAAAAACAAGTATAACATCTTTTTCATTATCTTGCTGCAAAAATCGCGGTATAAGCATAAGCGCAGCGAATTTAGCATCGTCTGGGGAGGAAGGACTTAATAAATCAAGACACCGTCTAAATTCAGATTGGTTATTCGCCATTATGAATTATTTGAATTATATTAAAAATTAAAAACAATTGATTATCGTTATCATCCATCTTTTTATATTTTTTATTTAACACGTGATTATCTTCAAAAAATTTTATATCTATAAATCTATGTAATATATACATATATATCTGAAGCGAAAATATATTTAATGATGAAAAAAAGAAAGAAAGTATTATTCAAATTGAGTCCATAACAAATTTCGACTATCACCTCCACCAATTAACAATTTATTCAGAGGGTTATAATCAATTGAATTAATAGCAATATCATTACCCTCATGACAATATCTACGAATCAAACCGTTTTCACTATACATCTCACTCCTACCAATACCTCCTATTGATCCACCAAAATCCATAATTCCTATTGTTCCATCTAAAAAAAAATAAATTTAATAAATTTAGTAAATAGGAATAGCAAGGAATAAAGTATGGACAATTCTAAGTAAATTCTTAGTACCTTCAGAACAACTAAAAAGAAATCCGGGGCGATGTGGATGAAATATCAATTCATTAACTGATAAGAAATAAAAAGTTAGTATTTCAAGAAATCATAAAAATCAAAAATTATTATGAAAGATATTGTACCATGAGTGTCATGTGGGCGAGCTCTTCTTATAGGTTCTTCTAAATTTTTGATGTCCCATATTGTAACAAATCCATCAGAACTACCAGCTGCAATTTGATTAACTTGAGATGAATTAACTGCTAAACAATTAAATGTATCTCTGGGACGAGACATACTAAAATTAATAGATAGAAAAAAAAATTAAATTAAATTAACATTAATTAAAATAATTTAATTAAAATATTTAAAAGGACTATTTACCAAAAAAAAAAAAAAATAAATAAAAAAAATACAAACTCATAAAATATCGAAGAGTTTCCTGGTTTTCGTCGATCAAAAAGTTTTAATTGTCCAGAAATACCAATTGTGATCTATGAAAAAAAGATCAATAAAACTTTAGATAATTTTAGATAAACTTTCGATAATTTTTTATATAAAAATAATTACTATTAGATCAGATGACGGCCATGCTACCGTTTTGATACCAGAAACATCTGCTGAATCTAATTAAATAAAATAAAATAAAATAAATTAAATTAAATTAAATTAAATTAAATTAAATAAACACTCGATTCACTCATTAATTAATTAATTAATTTAATATTATAATTTGATAAAGTAATTTACCTACTATTTGACATTGCATTAAGTTTGAAAGATTAAAAAGTACAAGGCGACCATCTTCACCAACACTAACAATCTCGGGGTCATTTCCACTATTAGGTTTTATTGCAATTCCTGTGGCAGGTGCACTTTTATTTTCTGAAAAATGATGAAATCGGTGAGAAATAATCTGCTCGATTTGATAATTCTCTATTCTAAAATCCGAATCTTCTTGTTCTAACTAAAAAATATAAATATATATTTATATATGTATATATATATGTGAAATTTATTATATAAAAAAATTAGTCTTACATTTATATAAGGAAGGCACTTAAATGCATTGAAGTATCCTTCTGAAGAAGATGTGAGTAAAATATCGTCATTAATAAATTTCATTTCCATCATATCTCCTTTATGATTTACTTTAGCCACCGGATAAAGCTCAAATGATGATTCATGATTATTATTTAAACTAAGTGGAATTTCCTTTGAACCCCATAGCATTAAAGTATTATTCTAAAAAAATTAAAAAAATTAAAATTGAAATTAAATGAAAATTTTAATTAAAAATTGAATTATAATTATAATTAAAAAAAAATTCACCTTTTCTTCATCCCAAGTTCCTGTAGCGAATAATAACTTTTTATTATCAAAGGTTTGGGGAGAATTAGCAAAACGAACTTTGGATATTTTCCCATAAGCATTAACTGAACCCATAAGAAATAATAAAAAGTTTATTTTGACAAATTGAGAAATTTAACAAAATATAATTTTTGGTTTGATAATTCCATACATACAGTGTGTTACAAAAGTCTTTGGAAATTTGATAGCCGGAATTAAATTAGTGCCACCGGCCCAATTTAAACAC